TGGGATCTCAGCATGTCCAAGGTGAGGACTTTAGCCACTAGGCTGCCGTGCTAGGCCTTCGTGCTGACTTTGAGGTAAAACAATAGCTGGTGATCTCTCCTGCACACTCTCTCTCTTGCTCTCTTGCTCTCTCTCCTTATCTCTCTCTCTCTCTGTGCTTGAGTCTCTCTATAACTCTTCCCTAGTTTTGAGAAGTAAGTCTTTGTTTTTGCTAAATTGAAATCACACTTGAATTGGACTTTGACAGCCGTCACTTCCATTTGATTCCTTAGAGTTGAACAGCAAATATTCCCCAGGCGACTCCTTTACTTATTTTAAAAGCAACAGTGCTACTTACCTCTCACTGTTGTGAGCTCTTCCTTTTTCTTCCCTTCTTTTTCTTTCCACTGCTTCCTTTGATACCCAGCTTCTGGCCATACTCATCCCCATACCATATTAGAAGCTCACAGCCTGGTTTGATGACTTGGCAGGTGTGGTAAAATATCCATCTGTGGTATTGGAAGGCCACCAAATTCTGCTCCTCATCATTCCAGGCACAGTTCACATACCTGATGCAGAGATAAATGCTGAGTTCCCATGCACTGTTACACTTGAATCTCATCTGTTCTCTGATAGCCTCCATCCTGCTTGAATCCCTATTCTGCAAGACCTTTCCCTGCAAACATGTATCTCTCTCATGAGATCAATGAAGTCCCACATCCAATGTGCAGATACTGTATTTGTTTTGATAAGCATGCTTTGCTACTTCCTTTCCTCATTAGTCATCCTCAAAACCCTAGTCCACCTTCCTCTCTCCTGACTGGCCTTGGAGCACACAGTGTTTCCCTAAACTCCAAGTTTCATTTAGCTTTCTCCCACAGAATTTGGTGTTAGATACACTCCCTACCACTAGCCTACCACACATGCTGCACAACTCAGATTTCCCAAAGGCAATCTTTGAAGTCCTTTCTCTTGGACATTTCTTCTGGATCATGGGAGTCCCAGACCCAGAATGGTAGTGGAGTCTTCATTGTTTCTTAGCCTCTCCCAGAACTACTCACAGAAACAATTGTCCAGATGCAGCTTCCTTCTCTCATCCACATCTCCAGGTTTGTTTTGTTTAGTTGGTAAAGTTTATTAGGATTATTTTCTACTTGAGAGGCAGAGACACGAAGAGGAGAAGGGGCAGAAGACAGAGATACAAAGAAAAAGGGTGGAGTGGAGAGATAAAAAGGACACAGTGGCAGGAATTAGCTTCAACAGGCCTTCTACGTGGGCACAGAACTCAAAGAATGAGGACATCCTCTGAAACTTCCCTGGATGCATGGGGAAGCAACTGGTTTGGCAGTAGGGTAACCAGTACTTGTAATGTAGGCACAACAGTTACTGTCTTAACCCACTGCATAACAGTGTTTGTCCCAAACCTGGTTATCCTCTCTCTCTCTCTCTCTCTCTCTCTCTCTCTTTCTCTCTCTCTCTCTCTCTCTGTCTTTCTCTTTCTCTTTCTCTCTCTCTCTTTTTCCCACTGTGCTTGGTATGGCTTTATGTCTCATAAATTAAAGACCTTCTGTAACAAGTCGTTTGGTCAGTGTATAATTTTGAAAAGACTAAACACCATTACTGTCAGGACACCAAGTTAATGCAATGTCCATGTATTTAGGATGTTTTTGATGCAGCAAAGTCTTAATCAATGATAATTAGAGAAAATGTGAGTCTAACAGCCCCAGTTGATCTAGATTCCTCAAGGCCCATCTTACAGTACAGAATTAAAAGAGGAAATAATATATTTCATACTTGGATGTATTCCTGAAGAAGAAGAGAAATCATAAGTGAGACTCTCTAAAGTGAAAAAAAAGGACACCTTAACTTAGAAAAGGTTAATTATTTGAATGTGTTTGCCTTGAAAAAACCTGGTTGACATAGTCCACTTCAGAGTTTCAGTTTTCTTAGCTTTTAATTGTGAACGTATGCCTGGAATGGTTGATTGATTTGCCTTTTTTTCTGTCAATTATATTTGTTTAATTATTATTTTCTTTAATTTTTATCTTTATGACACAGTTTCATAGGCTCTAGGATTCTCACCAACTGTGACCTTGTCCTCAATCCATGGTGGATTCCTCCAGATTGTGGCAGTAGTACAGTTGATATCCAGCCATAATTCCTTTGTTATGAGCATATAGCATGCCTAGACTTCAACCTCTTATTGTTCAGATGAATTCAACAGTTTCCTGCAGAGACCCTCTCTTGTCTGAAAGTAGAGCTGACACAAGCCCATCCCCTCCAATGAGAAACCACAACATAACATCAACAACAATTTACACTATCATGCAGTTAATTGACATGACACTGAGTGACCAATATGTTACAAAATGCAAATTCTTAACCACATCCTCTGATTACTTCATTGACATCTCAATTTTAGCTTAAACACAACTGGCTGCTATACACCTTAAAATGATTATAATTACAATTCAGCTATCTATTTTCATTTTAGTATTTAGCATATAATGGTATTGAAGCATGCTTTTACCAAACTTGGCAAATTTTAGGATATTCCAAACAGGCTTATAGATCAAACAAGCCACATGTTAACAATGGAGGAGATTAAGGAGGGTTGTGCAGAGAAATCTTCAATACCTTAGTGTTGAGTAACAAAACTTTGGTCCTACCTAGTTAATAATAATATGGGAGTCCATGCTGACAGTTTCCTGTCTGTTGTAAGATTTCCTTATTGGTCTCTGTCTATCTGACCTAATTTGGGTGTGGGGAGCTCCAGAGCAACCCTGATGATCACTGCAAGAGAGGTTGGGGAGCCCAAGTTGGAACGAATAAGGACCAGAAAAAGCACCTCTCCCGAGTCCTAAATGAAGTTTTCTCTTCTGTTTCTGAGGACCACTCAGGGATCCTGGCTCTTGTTCTGCTGACATTAGATACTGTAATGAAGGATTTGAGCTTTTTCCATCCCATGTGGGAGATCCAAAAGGGAGTGGATGGCCTCAGAGTTCTCGGCCTCTGAATGCATTCCAATTTCCCATGGCCCCTTGGCACCGGGATATAGCACTTGGTGCCCACACTGATCGTCATGGGTGAGGAGCCAGGAGTCTCCAGGGTTGGGATACAAGCCTGCTCCTGTCCTCCTGCTCCACTCTGGGATCTACTCACCCCTGCTCTGTGCATATGACCTCCTATGAAGAGGCTGTCAGGATCACTTTGGAATCCCACTGTATCTCTTTATAGATTTTGCTCATGGCTAATGCAGACTTGAGTCTGCTCTGTGTAAGTTACCTCTTATATTCTTGATGGGCTAAATTTCACATCTTCCTCACACATTCTAAGAAGGTAGAAGATTTCTCTGCTCTCCCATTCCTTCACAGTTTATCATACTGTATTAAAAGTGTATTAGGTCTTTCAGATCTTGGACATAGACAGCAAGCAGCCTGACTCACATTGATGGTTGGTTCATTGATTATATCGCAATATCGTAGTACAGATGATACAGGATGTTGGAGGTTGAAACAGTGTTACAATTTGGAGTGTAGATGTTATGGTTTGTAATCACTTCCTGTTGGATCATTCCTTTCAATAATATAAAATGTCCTTCCTTATCTCTTTTGATATGTGTCATGTTGAAGTCTATTTCATGAGATGAGAACTGCTACAGTAGCCTTTTTTTTTTTATTCCTGTACATTGGCGTCAAATATCTTTTGCCATCGCTTTGCTTTCAGTTTCTTAACATCTTGTTTTTAGTTAGATATGTCTCTTGTAGGCAGCACATAAGTGGATCGTGTTTGTTGCTCCAATCTGTTAATTTATGTGTTTTGATTGATGAGTTTAGGCCATTTGTCTGAAGAGTTAATATTGATTGGGTACAATTTGGCCCTGCCATGTGTGTGTGTTTTTCTTCGTTGGAAATCTTTCTATCCTACTTTGCTTGTGGGGGCTTTAGTGTAGAGTTCTTGCCATCTGCCATCATTGTTTAGAGTTTACCTCCTTTTTCTGGGTTTAGGACATTTGCTAGAGGGGAGTTGAGTAACACATGTCTGGGTGAACATCTCCTGGGATCAAATCTGTTGGTCGTTCTTTGTCTTTCCTGGATTTGGGGTAGATTCATGTTTCCAGTATTTTAGAAGTTCTCCCATATTATTTCATTGAACAGCTGTTGTAAGGCTGTCTCTGTTTCCACTCTTTCGGGAAGGCCTATTACTCTGATGTTTCAATTTTAATGTTGTCTTTCATTTCCTGAATGGTCCTGCTGGATTTGCTCAGGTTTTTCTCCAGCTGTATAATGAGCTGCTTGTTCTCATTCTGTTCGTCTTTCATTTCTGATACTCTATGTTCTGCTGAATTCATTCTGTTGGTAGATTGTCAACTTTGTACTATAAGTCAAGGATTCTATCTTTTACTTGCTTGATACCCACAACAACGTGATATTTGAATTCTTAGAACTCTTCCCAGTGTTTCTCACTGTCTCTGATGAATTTTATGAGTATTTTCTTAAATTCCTTCCCTGGTATCTCCTCAATGTCTTCATCTCGCTTCTCAGTGACAGGGGTTGGTTTTTGGTTGTTTTGGGGGAGGTGCTTTTTTTTTGGTCTGAATCATTGCTTTTTCTGATACTTCTCCCCATTGCATTGTGCTTTGCTTTCTCATCATTTTGGACATACTTTGACCTCAGTGCAGTAGCTTACAGTGGGTGTGTTCCTATTCCTGGGGTATGGATTGAAGACACCAATGTTATACTCTGTACTTTGTTGGGGAGAGGATGCTTTGGTGGCTTGTTGGGTGTTTTTGTTTACCCTTGAATTTATACCTCTAAACCTGGTTCCCCTGCGGTTTGTTGGCTACTGCATTGACTTGAGTGTGTTCTCAGGGTTGGGGAACTTGTAGGAACTTTGTAACCTTGGGATTTCCTGTAATTGCTCTGGGCAGATTTGGGTGCCTCTCAGCAAGACTCAGGCCTAATTCCCTTGGGATGTAGTAATTATAGGGCACCCCTCCTGAGGCTCAGTGTTGTTAATCGCTACCACCACTGAGACCTTTGTTTGGCCATGGGTGCTCTCTGTGGGGTGCACGTAGACACCCAATCTCGAATACTCAGGTGGTTACAGGTCTGGGGAGTGGGAGGTGGTAGCCCCTGGCCCGCTGCCACCTTTGCACAGGCTGGCCCTGAGTTCAGATGTGTTGCAAACTTCAGAGCCTCTGATATGGCCCTGGGATTTTCATGGTAGCCATAGCCAACACCAGTTGCAGTGGGTACCTGCAATCCCCTGGACACAGGGAAAGTGACAAGAGCACAGCAGCATAACAGAGACCAGATACACCTGTGGCAGTCAACAAACAGGCATGAAATCCACACTCCAGGGATAGGCAAAACTACAGCAGCCAAGTTAAAGAGGAAATGCACTGGGAGCTTATGAATTGGACACAGGAAGACAATGATCATTCTCTTGATTTGTTAGACTGGATAATTAACCACAGATGGAAAATGTCATTTGCTATATTTATAATGCACCTTCCATAGTTTGGTTTCACCTGTTCTTAGTTTATATCATCATTCAGGTATTTATAATTTTTAATCAACTTCTTTCCAGTGTGTGTTGTGTGATAATATCTACTACACTAATGCCTTTCTCTCAGGAACTTTTCTGTTAAAGTTTTCTGTTCTCTCAGGAACTCTTACTGTTAAAGTTTCTACAAGTGTTCTCATTCCATGATTTAAGTTTGTTTATACAAAGGTATGTGAATATAACCAGAACTGTGTTTCCAACCCATTTCTCAATCTCTCCAATTGAATTTGATTATTTTCATCTCATAGGTTCAAAATCTTTGGAATTTGCTTGAGTTTCCTGTTTCAGTGGTGCAATGAATTTGTTACAGTCAAGACATAAAATGGGATTTTGAGAGAAGTGCACTAGGCTGATGAGATGGGTGCCTATGATACTTGATAACAGTTTCCCTACAGTAACACAGGGATTGTATGACATTGAGATTTCAAAGTGTGAAGGCAGAAAACTGGAGTGTAATTTGAGTAAATGTGTAGGAGTCATTGTATGGTGCAGAGTCAGAGTAGACTTATCACTTCATTCACTATGTGTGAGTACTAGTTCAGGGATGTTAGCATGTGCCCCGTAGGACAAGAGATAACATTAGTGGAAAAAACATGCTTGAAATTGAAGTCTATGACCAAGGTATCAGGCGAAAGTTACCTTAAGGATTGCAATATCACTTTAAATGGGGCGACTTCGCTATCCATGGTCAGGATCTATGCTATAGGACCAATTCTTGCAGAGATTGAAAGTGTTGTATCCATACTTGGCTGGCTGCACAAATCTGAAATCATATTCAACTGTATTGGCTCAGTTCTACATTCTTCTAACAATAATTTGTTTTAACCCATGAAATATATGACAATCAAATACCCAATGTTATTTGCACAAGTCGTAAGAACCATGAAGACCATAAAAGTTTGCGTTCGGCAAGAGATACAAATGAAGCAAAGAAAGATTCACTAGTGGCTTTTATATAGCAGACACAAACAGAGATTAAAAAAAGAAAGACATAATTTGTCCCCTTAAAAATTAATAGCACACTAAACATGACCAGATGCTTAATTTGACTGGTAATTGTTCTCTCCACCAGTATCTTCTGGACAAGAAATATTTCTAGCATCTTCCTGTGGAACAGTTCTGTTGTGATGGCAGAATGAATACTCCTTTGCAGGATTGCTTAGTAAATTAGCATGGTCCCAAAGGTAATGTTCGGTTGTTATTCATATGGTTTGAAACCCAGCCAAGATACTAAACATAAAGTTATTGTCCAAGTTGCACTTTCTGTTTAGCCATGTTAGAGTCATGTGGGTAAATAGTCCCATGAATTTTCATATTCTTGTTTGATAATATATTGCCATCATTTTTTCAGTATGTATTATGTAGATCCCTTAAATTTTCAGTATTATTTTTCAGCAAATATCATATAATTTTGCAGTATAAATCACATTGATCCTTTAAGTGATAAATGGAATTTTCACACACTTCAATTTGCAGAAAGAAACTATGTCCCTTTATTTAAAATTGAGGGGAAGAGTAAAGCAGGGCTTGCGTAGAACAGTAAATGTGGAATGTGTATAGTCACTTCTCATTTTCTCAGTAAATACAATAGAAAGACTGTTGAAGTTTTGAGCATAACTTTCAAATGAGTAACTATTAAATTGTATGATAATCTCTTTAATGTAAAATTAAAAAGTTTTTAGACTCTGTGGTATTTTTATTTATGATCTCTTTGTAAAATAATTCTTTGTGCCATTACGTAGGCTTCATGCTCATCCCACATTCATGTTTAAATTTTGCTCAGCCTATTCCTAGGACATTTCATAGAAAAAAGACATATCACTTGTGTCCTGCCAGTGTACTTCTGAATCAGGTCGCTGCTAACATGCATGGGAAGGCAGCAGTAGATGATAGTTCAAGCCCTTGGTCTCCTGAAGCCATGTGAGAGAACTTCCAGAAGCTCCTGATTTTTGGCCTCCTAACTGTTCTCTGCTCCGTATATTGCAGTCATTTGGGGAATGAAGCAGTACTTGGGAGATTTTCTGATTTTTCAAATAAGTATGTACACTTTAGAAACAAAGAAAGAAACTATCCATTTAACAATGAAAAGGCAAATTAAAAAGAGGAAAACATCTAAACAGCTAACCAATTACAAGATTTGCAGCTTTCCAGAAAAGACACAAAACAACACTCAACAGCATTTCATAAGGAGAAGATACAGAGAAAAGGCAACAGTACTGTACACCAATCAAAACAGCCAAGAGCATCCATAACATGGACACTGGCAGAGAGCCCAGCATTCTATTTTAACAATGTTGGGAACAGTCTCACCGAGAGTACATCTTTGTTTTGGAAGTAGACATGTATACGGCTTTGTATCTTCACATCTCAATACGTTAGTCTCTATCACACAGTTATTGTACATCCCCATAATAGAAAAGCCACAAAATAAGAACAAAAGCAGGAAGTAAAACAGAAAGTTAACTGTAATACGAAGGTAAATACCACAGTCCTGAATGATCAAAGTGCCATTGAAGAAATGACATATAAACTCAAAAATCTTCTTGAAGGCAATGATGCTACTGTGTAATAGAGTCGGTGAAGAAATAGGTAAGGGAATATAAATACTTCATTTGAATGAATGAAAATTAAAACAAAAATACCTGAAACATAACACAGACAGCATATTGAAAGATATTGATCTTATAATTCTATGTGGTTTTCCTCATACCAGAGAGAATATATGGTATTTGTCTTTTGAGGTTGACTTATTTCATTGAGTATAATGGTCTCTAGTTGGGTCCATATTGTCACAAAGGGGAGAATTTCATTCTTTCTGGTGGTCGAGTGGTATTCCATGGAGTAGATGTAGCACAGTTTCTATCAGTTCTACTGAAAAAAGAAAATACCAACCAAGTCAAACAGATGTTTATTATGCAAAGAGAAGTCAGTTCTTGGGCCTATCCCGTGCAGTGGAGGAATGGATAGGAGAAGAGAGGACTTCAAGTGTGAAAGACCAGCAGGGTAGTAGGAGACAAAGGTCTTCTACTTCCTCTGACAAGGGTGCTGGCATCAGCTCTGCTTGGGCTCTCAGAGGAGAGGGAATGTTGGCTTTTGTGCATCATCAGCCTGTACATGGAATTGGCAGCATTTGGGGAGTGCCAGATCTCTGACTGAGTTGACGGTGGTGTCCACCTATTTTCTGTAACCACAGTAACCATAATTTTCTTATCCAATTCTCTGTGGATGGGCATCTATGCTGTTTCCATGTCATTGGTATTGTATATTGTGCTGCTGTAGATATAGGATTACCGATTCCCTTCTCATATGCAGATTTCATTTCCTTTGGATACATTCCCATCAGTGGGATAGCTGGATCATATGGCAGGTCCATTTTCAGTTTTCTTAGCAATCTCCATCCTGACTTCCCTAGTGGTCATATTAGCCTATTCTCCAACCAGTCGAGAATAAGTGTTTGGGACACTGAATATTTCCTGCCCTATGTCTGGACATTTGCCCTGATTGGTGTGCCTTGGTTATCTTTAAACTGATTGGACAAGTTTGACAGATAAGCAGGGAGCTTGGCGGGGGAGGGGGTCAGCCTAAAGGACTTAATGGTCATAACGGTTTTTAACGGAGGAGCAGAAAAAAGCGAATTGGAGACTCTGTCTCAAGTGTCAGGTGATTTCTTCTGTGGGATAGAAGGACCCCAATAATTGTGCTGTGACTCGGGTGGAAGAATACTGGTGCTTTTATTTGGATAGAAGTCAGCTGGTGAATGCCAGGAAGGTAAGCTGAGCAGTTCGCTCAGGAAGCTGCTTCCAGAGGGAATTAGTTCCAACTGAGATTTTTGCTCTGGAAACTGCTATAGCAGTGGGGATGTGCACATCAACTTCAACCGGTAACAATGACTCAAGTTCACAGGAGAGTGACCAGTCAAGTTCGCGGGTAGCAACCATTAAAGTGCAGGCCTAGCAACCATTCAGGCTCACAGTCTAGCAGCCATTCAGATTCATTCAGGTTCACTCACGATCGTATTTATTGCCCACTCACAATCACATTTACGGCCCATTTACAATCGCGTTTACATCCCATTCACGATCAATCATGTTTATGGCCCATTCAGGGTCGAGGTCTAGTGAAGATTCAAGTTCGTGGTTAATGAACACTCAATTTCGTGATTTAATGATCAGTCAAGTTTGCAGGTTAGCAAGAATCCAAGTTGTTAGAAACATGGGCAATTTAACTTATATTCAATAAAGGAAGAAGCTTCTTTAAAAGGCGGAGATAGCAGTGAAGAATACTCAGACTCAGGGCAGTCAGGCGGGGCCTCTGGCGAGGATATTGATGAACTTGCACAGAAACTAGAGACCACTTCGCTGCAATCAAAAAGTTTGTCTGGCAGCTGCCTCCCCCTCCAGGAGACCTTCCACTCACGTCAACTGTGCCTCCTTGGCAATGCCAGGAGCAAAACGGAGATCCTGTAAGTGACCCCTCGCCTCAGGGTGCAAGTTCATGGCACAATTTTGCAGAGGCAGGGAAAGTGTTTCCAGTTACAGAGGATAGAGCACAAAATTCCCCCGTTCGCTCCTGGGTCTCACTTGATTTCAAGTTAATTAAAGATTTGAAGACCACTGTTGATTCCTATGGTGTTCTTGCTACCTTCACCCTCAAGTTGCTGGAATAGAGAGCAGGCTCGGCATTGACCCCTGATGATTGGAAAAATTTAGCTAAAGCCACCCTGTCTCCTGGACAGTATTTGGTCTGGCGGTCAGCCTGCCACAAGTTAGCACTAGACACTGCACGCCATAATGCCCAAGCAGGCAAACCTGCAGGCGACTTAGACGTACTCCTTGGGGAAGGTGCTCGAGCGGGACAAAAAACCAAATAGATTACCCCAAGCCTGTTTATGTCCAGATAGCCACCATAGGATGCAATTCTTGGAGGGCCCTTCATAGCAAAGGCGATCTGTACTTTTCAAAATCTTAAGTGACCAAGGGCCTAATGAGTCATATGGGGACAGTGTGAGCCGCCTCATGGAGGTTGCATCAAAATTGTTTCCTGATATAAAACAAGCTATGCCATTAATGAAGCAATTGGTCTATGAAAATGCTAATAACGGGTGCCATGAAGCCATATGCCCTTGGAAACTTAAGGACTTGGATACATGGATTAAAATCTGTAGAGATGTCCATGATCAAGTTACAGCTGGAGTTATACAGACAAGGGAACAGGCTAAAGTGATAATGAATGCTATGAAACAGGAGAAGGGGTTTAAAGGGCTTGATCAGATATGCTTCAGATGCGGTAAACCGGGGCACTTTAAAAGACACTGCCACCAAAGAGAGCCCACTAGTCCTCCTCCTCAGCCTCGGCTATGCCCAAGATGTGGGAAGGGGAGTCTCTGGGCTAATGAATGTGGCACAGTGCGAGATATTTCGGGCCACTCCCAAGAAGGGAACTTTAAGCCAAAAAACAGGCAGAGGGGCCCAGCATCCCAGGGCCCCCACAGAGCATAAGGGCGCAGCAGAATCAGACAGAACAGACAACCAGGCAGTACGCGGAGCCACGCCTGGAAGCACAGGATTGGAACTCTGTGCCACCTCACACCTTGTATTAATCCCTGAGATGGGCCCACAGGCACTTGATACTGACTTTCACTGAGCACTTCCTAATGACACAGTGAAATGGATGTTTGGAAGCAGTTGTAAGACCATGCAGGGCCTGATTGTTCACCCAGGAGTAATTGATTCACATTATAATGGCATTGTCAAAGTTATGGTTTCTTCACCAAACAGAATAACTGTTATAATTTCAGGAGAGTGTATTGCCCAACTGTGAGTCCTTCCTAGCTGTCATGAGGGTTGGTGGAGTCACCACACCACCCATGGGGACAAAGGCTTTGGATCCTCTGGAGACGCCTTAGTTACTCTGTCTCCCTCAAGGACCGACCATTGGCCACCCTTATGCTACGTGGCACTCAAGTCAAAGGCCTTTTGGACACTGGGGCAGATGTCAGCATTATTAGGCAATCAGATTGGCCAAAAAATGGCCCCTAAAGCAATCTAATAAAACTTTATGAGGCTTAGGAGTGGCTAGCCAACCACAACAGAGTGCATGTGTTATTTCCTGGGTGGACCACGAAGGTCACAAAGGGTCCTTTCAGCCTTATGTTTGTGCCATCCCTGTGACCCTATGGGGCCGGGAAGTCTTAAGTGCTATGGGACTTCGCTTGAGCAATGAGTACTACCAAACAGGAAGCCAACAAGCATGGAATATCATAAAGAAAGTGAGTTATTCAGGAAAGGGTCTAGGTAAAGAGAAACAAGGAAGAATAGAACCAATCACGGTTAGACAACACCCAGGAAGGGCAGGGTTGAGCTTTCAGCTGGGGCCACTCCAAAACAATAGCCATTGCAAATTACGTAGATATCGAATGAGCCCATATGGGTATCGCAGTGGCCCCTGACCTCTGAAAAGTTAATGGCTGCCCAGGAGTTAGTGTTAGAACAATTTTCATTGGGACGTATAATGCCTTCAGTATCTCCATGGAACACACCTATCTTTGTTATTAAAAAGAAATCAGGGAAGTGGTGGCTTTTGTATGATCTTTGGGCTACAAATGCCACTATGCAAACTATGGGTGCAGTACAACCTGGTGTGCCTTTAGTCACTGTACTGCCTAGGGAATTGTATCTTATTGTGATTGATATTAAGGATTGCTTATTTTCTATACTTCTAAGTCCACAAGAATCAGATCATTTTGCCTTTACTTTGCCTTCTATTAATCATCAAGGCCCAAATCAGAGATACCAATGCGTTGCACTCCCACAAGGATGTGAATCAGCAGATTACCACATTGTATATCTGACTTTCAAAAAGAGTGTTTTCTCTCTCTGTGTGTGTGTGTGTGTGTCTGTGTGTGTTTGTGTGCATAACTGGCATTTTCCTCATCTAGGTCACAGATTGAACATACATATCATTCAGAGATGAGCAGGTAATTCATCTTAGGAATTGCAAAGCTTCCCTTTGTCTTTGAAAATGAAATGAAGTTCTTCACACAATGAACAACAACTTCAAGATTTTGCCTCTTGTAAACATGCCCCACAAATGATACTCACAGAAATTCCCATGAATGACAAAAAGGAATAGCAACTACCAAAGCAAAATGCAAATGTGGAGAACACCCCACTAAAAGGCTAACAGAAGACTCAATCAAAGCACAACCCAACGCTGAAATGACACGACCAAACTGCCCCTTACCCATAATAACTGAACTTAAATGGCTTAAACTCATCAGTCAAATGCCATAGAGGAGGACCTAGTAAAAACAAAACCCATTTATCTGCTGCTTAGAGGAGACACATCTCAACAAAAAACATCAGAGGCAATGGAAACTGAAGTGATGGAAATAGATATTGCAAGTGAATCATAAGCAAAAACGTGCAGAACTAACCATTCTTTTATCAGATGACATAGGCTTTGATGTAAAAAACATCAAAGAGATGAAGATAATCACCACATAATGATTCAAGAATCCATTCAGAAAGAAGATTGTCATAATAAATGTATCTGTGAATAATGCCGGAGGATCTTGCTGTGTGAAACAAATATTAATGGCTTTGATGGGAGAAACAGACTCAAATATGATCATAGTGGGGGATCTTAATGCCCCATTCACATCAAAGGACAGATCAAAGAGACAGAAACTAAGCAAAGAAATAACAGAACTCACAAAACTCTAGAGCAAATGCATTTGTTTACATCTATCAAGCAGTTAATCATACAGACAGAGAATACATTTTTTCTTTAAAATGAGAACATTGGAATCTTCTCCAGAACTGACCATCTTATAGGCCACAAATTAAGCTTCAACAAATTTTAAAACTTAAAATCATACTAAGCAACTTCTCAGATCATCATCGACTGAAGTTAGAAACCAAGAAGTCCAAAACACCAAAGAAGACTTGCAAACACATGGAGACTAAATCATGTTACTAAATGAGTAGAAGGCTAGGGAGGAAATCATAAGGGAAATCAAGGCAGTGCTAGGGAGAAGTTCATTTCAATCAGTGCCTATGTCAAGAAACTAGAAAAGCATGAAGTAAATCAGCCAGCACTGCAGTTGAAGGAAAAACGAAGGCAGTGCACTCCTAAGATTTGAAGCCAAAAGGAAATCATCAAAACAAGGGAGAAAATAAATGAAATAGAGATAAAAGATCTATACATAAGGTCAATGAATCAAAGAGCATGTTCTTTGAGAAAATTAACAAAACAGACTCCCCACTAGCCCACCAGGAGCTATTACAAGCAACTATCTGCAGCAAATCACATGACCTAAAAGAGATGGATAGATCTTTGGACACATACAATTCACCACAATTGAATCTAGAAGCAATTAATCTAAATGGGCCTATTATTAGCAATGATTTTGAGTCAGTAATTAAAGCCCTCCTGAACAAGGAAAGTTCTACACCAGATGGCTTCACTGCTGAATTCTAACACACATTTCAAGAGGAATTTACCCCAATCCTTCACAAACTTTTCCAAGCAGTAGAAAGCGAGGCAGATCTTCCAAACACATTCTATGAAGCCAATATCACTTTAGTACCAAAGCCACAAAGAGAAACAACACAAAAAGAGAAATACAAACCGATATTCTTGAAGAACATAGATTCAAAGATTCTCAGCAAAATACTAGCCAACCAGATCCAACAGCGCATCAGGCAGAGCATTCATCTGGACCAGATAGGATACATCCATGCATTGCAGAGATATAGGGATGATCCAGCATCAGCCAATCATGAAATGTGATACATCACATTAACAAATTAAAAAAAATAGCATATGATGCTCTCAACATGCAAAGAAGTCAGGCATAGAAGGAACATTCCACAATACAATCAAAGCAATTCATGAACAACCCAATATACCAGCATCATACTAAATGGGGAAAGATTGAAAACCTACCCAGAAACACCAGGAAGTAGACAGGGATGCCCACTGTCACCACTGACTTTCACTACAGTATTGGAATTCCTTGCCAGAGCCACGAGGAAAGCAGAAAGAATTAAAGCAATCCAAATTTGAACTGAGGAACTGAAATTATCGCTACTATTAGACTGCATGATTCTCTACCTAGGAGACCAAAGATTCATCCAAGATTCTATTGGAACTCAGAAGAGACTTTGGCAGAGTAGCAGAATAAAGAATGAGTGAGCACAAGTCAATGACACTAGTGTACACAAATAATTCTAAGGCTGAGAAAGGAATTTTTAGTAGAGTAAGTTTTAACATAGAAGAGTGGAATCTTCAATACCTAGGAATTAAGCTACGTAAATACAAACACCAGAATGGAGTCCACACAGGTAGGGTCAACTAATCTTTGACAAGAAAGCTGGAAACTATCCAAGCAAAAATCTGGATCTATTCAGCAAGTTCTGTTTGGATAACTGTATAGCAGCTGCAGAAGTAAGAAGCCAGAAACACAACAGTCCAACTATAAAAATTGGCTCTAAATGGATCAAGGACCTAAATCTACACCCAGAAACCATCAAACTTTTCAAGAAAAACATAGGAAGCTCGCTTGAAGATGTAGCAACAAGGAAAGAATTTCTTAGAAAAGTAACCAAAAGCACAGGCAATCAAAGCCAAAGTGAACAAATGGGATGTCATCAAACTAAAAAGCTTCTTCTGTGCACTAAAGGAAACAAATGAACAAAGTGAGGAGGTATACAACAGACACAGAGAAAATGCTTGCACAACGCACAAGTAAATAGGAACTAATATGCAGGATTTGCAAAGAGCTACAGAATCCCAGGGACAATGAAATGAAACAAACAACCTGTGAAGTAAAGGGCAAAGGATTCTGCAGGCCATTTTTTCAGAAGATCAGATTCAAAGCAAAATATGCTCAGGCTCCCAAGCCATCAGAGAGACACACTTTAAAACCATGTTGAGTGGCTTGTTTGTTTTGGTTTTTTGGTTGTTTTGAAGTTCTTTGTATATCCTGGAAATTAGCCCCGTATTGCCTATATCGTGTGCAAAGATCTTCTCCCACTCTGGGTTGCTTTTTTACTTTGTTGATTGTTTCCCTTGCTGTACAGAAGCTGCTTAGTTTGATGAGTTCCCATTTGTTTATTCTGTTCTTAACTGCTATTGCTTTTGGTGCCTTAGAAAGTCGGGACCTACTCCTAGGTCTTGCAGGGTATTTCCTACATTTTCTTGCAAGAGTTTGAAGGTTTCTGGATGTAGTTTCAGGTCTTTTATCCATGTAGATTGGATCTTTGTGTATGGTGATAGATGTGGGTCTATCTTTTTGTTTCTACAGGCTATCAGCCAGTTGTCCCAACAACATTTACTAAAGAGGCCTTCCCACTTGCTTGGACCGAATGAATCTCAACTGAACTTGAACTATGGTTATGCAGCAAGGTGGAGGAATCCAACATGGGGGGAGGGGCATGGGAGGGGTGGGGTTAATCCCCAGCACCTATAAAACTGTACCACATAATACAATGTAAACAACAATAAAAAATAAACCATGTTGAAGTTCCACTTAACTTCAGTGAGGCTGTCCTACATTCAGATCTTCAGTTACAACCTAATGGCAAAGATGTACGAAGAATGGAGCCTCCTTCACTGCGGGTGCAGTGTCTTCTAATATAAATACTATGGAAATCAGTATGGAGAATGTTGGAGAATTGCAAAGAAACCTGCCGAATGATACAGCTCTCCTGCTCCTAGAAATGTACCCAATAGAAAAGATATCTGCATATGTAAAGGGGATCTCTAAGTCCCCACAATCTACAATAGCAAAGACATGGAAACAATCCAAATGAGCTCCCATAGAAGATACGGTTGAAGAAACTGTATTACTTATTCTCCATGGAATAATATTATCTATTAAGAAGAACAAACTTATGCCATGGATAACCAGGTGGTCCCAAAAAGAATCCATTATGCTCAATAAAATGTGTCAATCACAAAACAGCAAATACATATGTTATCTCTAATATAAGGAAACCATTGTGGAAATTGTAATTTCCATAACCTGCTCTGCCTTGTAATGTTCACCAGCCCATACAAAGCCAAATGGAAAGCCAGATTTGCCAAGTCCTGGAATAAAACACAATGGCATGTTTGAGAACTGGGTCAGGGAGAGGATTAATTGGAGGAAGTTGGGAAACTCCCCTGACAAGTCAAAGTTTTCACTGGTGAATATGTGGTCCAGAACTGGGGGTCAGACAAGCTGGACAAAATAGCTCTAACAGCTGGCTAATTTGTCAATTGGTAATGGAAAGGGGTTTGCTGTGAAGAAGTGGGCAGTCCCCACTGGCTTATGTGAAGGCTGAGTATTTGCTGGACAGTACCAGGCTGGACTGCAAAATCCATTGCTTCCAGTGGGTGTCAGGGCTGAAAACAGAAGCAACCCAGGAATTGCAACCACCAGCTATCAGGGCGATGGAATGCGCCAGGCACTGTACTTGCCAGTACATACAAGAATTTAGACTGCAAACACCTCAGACCTTGAACTTATCTTTGTGGATCTCCACAAGCAAAATGCCAGACACAGAACCCTAACCAAGACAAGACAGAAGACAGAACACGTAAATTAACCAATGCAGCTATATTTTGGCAGCAAACTACTGGCCAACAGAGACTATGATGGACTAAGTCATTCAGTGGATTTCACAACAACCTCATTGTGCTTGGAGTGGTGAGACTAGCAGCGCTTCAGAACTGATCAACTATCAAAACCACTTGAGCGAGAATCTCCGAGTGTGCCCCACATGAAGGACCTGGGGTGGAGGGGTACCTGGGTGAGGATTCTCCCTCAATATTGCCCGTCACCTCAGATACATGAAGGAAACAAAGTGCAAATCATATTATGCACGTTCCTATAGCAGTTGAACCTTTTTACCCTAATTAACTATATAAGTTGTGAAAAATATAAAGAAAAATGAAAAAAAAAAAAAGTAAAATGTATGTTCTGGGATATTTTTGTGCACAAAGTATTTAAAAGATAAAAGAACTAAATAAAAATGTAGATCAACGTTTCCCAGGAGTCAAAGACATAAAAAATGGGTCAGTATTTGGTCACACTCTTTCAAGTCACTACTATGATAATATTAGATCATATAATGACTAGATTGAGATCTGGCTTCCCCTTATCCTATTCCCTGGTCTTTTAATGTACCCAGGATATGAGTACAAAACAGTTAAACTGCTGAAATACATGAGCTCCTGGTTTTAGCCAGAGATAGACTTCACAGATTCTGATAAAAAAAAGTGTAAACAGTACGTATAATATAGTAAAATATAATATAATATAATATAATATAATATAATATAATATAATATAATATAATATAATATATATATATGATATGATATGATATAATATAATATAATATAATATAATATAATATAATATAATATAATATAATATAATATAATATAATATGATATCTTTATATACATATACATATATATATGATTTAATAAATACAAAGAGGATAAGAGACAGAAAGGAAATCTGTCTGTCTTTTGATTCATTCCCAAGTGACCACAATAGCCATAGATGTTTCAATCTAAAAATTAACGTCAGGAACTTCTTCCTGGTCCCCATTGTGGCTATAGCACCGCAAGGATTGAGGTTGTCCTCAACTGCTTCTCCAGGCCACAAGCAGGAAGCTGGAAGGCAATTGGATCAGTCAGGACATGAAGTGATGCTCATATTTGATCTCAGCATGTCCAAGGTGAGGACTTTAGCCACTAGGCTGCCGTGCTAGGCCCTATTGCAGCCTTTGGATTAAAACAGTAGCTGGTGATCTCTCCTACTCACTCTCTCTCTTTCTCTCTTTATCTTTTTCTCTCTCTCTCCCTGTGCTTGAGTCTCTCTATAACTCTTCCCTTCTTTTGAGAAGTAAGTCTTTGTTTTTGCTAAATTGAAATCACATTTGAATTGGGCTTTTCCAGCTGTTACTTTCCATTTGACTCCTTAGAGTTGAATGACAAATATTCCCCAGGTGACTCCTTTACTTATTTTAAAAGCAACAGTGCTACTTACCTCTCACTGTTGTGAGCTCTTCCTTTTTCTTCCCTTCTTTTTCTTTCCACTGCTTCCTTTGATACCCAGCTTCTGGCCATACTCATCCCCATACCATATTAGAAGCTCACAGCCTGGTTTGATGACTTGGCAGGTGTGGTAAAATATCTGTCTATGGTATTGGAAGGCCACCAAATTCTGCTCCTCATCATTCCAGGCACAGTTCACATACCTGGTGCAGAGATAAATGCTGAGTTTCCATGTGCTGTTACACTTGAATCTCATCTGTTCTCTGATAGCCTCCATCCTGTTTGAATCCCTACTCTGCAAGAGCTCTCCTTGTAAACATGTATCTCTCTCATGAGATCAATGAAGTGCCACATCCAAGTTGCAGATACCGTATTTGTTCTGACAAGCATGCTTTGCTACTTCCTTTCCTCATTAGTCATCCTCAAAACCCTAGTCCACCTTCCTCTCTCCTGACTGGCCTTGGAGCACACAGTGTTTCCCTAAACCCCAAATTTCATTCAGTTTTATGCCACAGAATTTGGTGTTAGATACACTCCCTACCTCTAGCCTACCACACATGCTGCACAACTCAGATTTTCCAAAGGCAATTCTTTGAAGTCCTTTCTCTTGGTTCTTTCTCCTGTATCCTGGGAGTCTCTGGGAGTTTCTTAGCCTCTTCCAGAACTGCTCACAGAAACAATTGTCCAGATGCAGCTTCCTTCTCTCATCCACATCTCCAGTTTTGTTTGTTTAGTTGGTAAAGATTATTATGATTATTTTCTATTTGAGTGGCAGAGACACAAAGAAGAGAAGGGGCAGAAGACAGAGATACCAAGAAAAAGGGTGGAGTGGAGAGATAAAAAGGACACAGTGTCAGGCAGTAGCTTCAACCAGGTCTTCTAAGTTGGCACCAAAGACAAAGCATGAGGACATCACATCCTCTGAAGGTCCTCAGGGTGCATGGGAAAGCAACTGGTTTGGCAGTAGGGTAACCGGTACTTGTAATGTAGGCACACCAATCCGTACATTAACCCACTGAATGACAATGCTTGTCCCAGAACCTGGCTCTTTTCTCTCTCTCTCTCTCTTTTTTTTTCTCTTTTTTCCACTGTGCCTGGTATGGTTTATATCTCATAAATTAAAGGCCTTCTGCATCAAGTTGTTTGGACAGTGTATAATTTTCAAGAGACTAAAAACCATTATGGTTAAGACACCAATTTAATGCAATGTCCATGTATTATGATATTTTTGATGCAGGAAAGGCATAACCAATGATAATTATAGAGAGAATGAGTCAATGCCCCAGTTAATCTAGATTCATCAAGGCCCATTTTCATGTCCATTTATTCAACATATTATTTTATGTTATGATAAAAAATAGTATTTATATAGAATGTGCTTTTATAAACCGGTCATGGTATTCAAAGGTCATTCAAATAGACATCAAAGAGGACATATCATGTAAAAGTCATTGAGGAAAGTAGAGGAGAAAGGACAATGATCTTGTCTTTGAGAGAAATGTCATCTCTGCATGGCTCTTACCTCATCCAATTGGCCAAAGAAGTATCCTTACCATCCATGTACTCATAGCTGTTTCTCCTCTTGGCTATTTGAGATTCAGAAAAATCAGTTAGTATGTTTCTGGAAAAGGAATAGTTCAGCAGAACTATTAACTCAACTACCATCATGTTCCATGACATTCCATGAGTCCAACCACATCTTGAGACATAACATAGTGTTAGTACACACCTAATCTGATTTGTTTCCTTACATTAGAAATCCACAGCTGAGATCGCAACTGCTTTGTTTTTACAGCCCAGTGATCTCATCAATGCTAATCTTCAGTAAGGATTCTGTGATGTAATCATGTTGGCTTCACTCATGCCATAATGAGTAGAAGGACACATGAACCGGACACATGAGCCAAACTCACAGCAGGCATGTGGAAAGCCACCAGACTGCAAAGGGATGTACTTCTTACCTGCCAGCTGTACCCTCTGTTGGCTTCCTGTTTCACTTCTGTGATCTTGCCCTCAAAAGGACCAAAGTGCAACCCCAGTGGTAGATCAGATGCTTCATTAAACACTCCAAGCCCAGCCTTAGAAATGCTGGATGGGCCAATTCTAAGCCCAGTGGGCACACTGAGGAGAGCACGACTAGGATGTCCCTTATCCACTGGGTTGTCCTTTAGAAATACTGGGGGTCCATGAGCAGCACAGCTTTTCAGGAAGAACTTCTGACACTTTTCACAATCTGGAGATGAGAGTGGAAGGGATTAGGAAATGATACCAAACAGTACTGGATATAGAGAGCAACAGAAGCAGCCAACTACGCACATTACTCATCCTCGATCTTGCAACCAAAGTTACCACACGACAGAAGGATAGAAGACAAAATTACAAGTGGAATTTGATTTCAAGCTATAGGATTTCTCTTTGTGGATGTGCTAAAGGGTCACTTACACAGGTAATCATCATCCTCTGTAGTGCTCAGGGTAAATAGGTCACTAAGTCAATAAGAATGCGACTAACACTCCAGGGACTAGTGGGCAAGATGGTGGCCAAGCGAGAACCATGGGCATGAATTCGGACAGGAGTCAAGTAGCTTCAAGGAAATGCTGATCAACCATGGCCATCTCTCTCACACACCATTTGATTATGGGAGGTGGCTTCTACAGTCATTCTCCTAGTAATTGGTTCCTAGTCTCTCCCCTCCTGGACTTCCCCAAATTCCAGGCCTAATGCTATCTCTTCCCTCTATAGGAAATTGAATTTCCCGTACAAGTCGGCACTGCTTAGACAGTAGCCCTATTCTTTCCTTTGCCTTTCACAGGCCAGGGGACTGGATTGTGGGCAGCGGGCTCATCCCCTCCAGCAACAGGGTACTAAAGAAATCTGTGGGGGAGACCCTGCAGAACATGCACCCAGCATGGATCATGAAGGCTGTGTCTTCTCACCCCCTCACTGCGTGGCTTTGAAAGAGAAGCAAGGAATGGCTGTAAATTGCTTCAGAGCAGTGTCTTATCAGAGAAGCACATTGTCAGGGAAGTGGTGGAACTTCAGGTGAGTCTCAAAGAAAAGAAGGCTACCTAAGTTACAGTATTCCTCCCCTCAAGCAGGAGTGTATCCTGCAGAAGTGACCCTAGGCACCCCACAGCTCTGTACAATCACGGGCAGCACCCAACCATGGTATAGCTATGGTCAAATCCCCTGAGAGGTTGTAAGGGAAAGGAGGTGTTAAGTGCCCAATTGGCTTCTTTCCTATTCTCGCTTCTGTGGCAGTGAGAGATGGCCATGGATGCCTGAATCTAGGGTGAACCTGTTTGAGGAATGACAGTTCTGGCCAAGGAAACACTTTGGCGTTACCTGAAACTCTGCTGGGGATCCCCTGGGCCAGACAGCCCAACTGGGTATCCTAGTGCCTCTCTTATCTCTCATTTTCTGCTTTGAGGGACAGCTGTGGATGCTTGGCTCTGGGGTGATCCTGTCTGAGGACTGACGGTTTCTGGCTGACACAAAGGTTCGGTGTCACCTGGAACTCTGTATTGGATTGCCTGCGCCCAACAGCCTGACTGGATATTCTGAGCACTCTCCTCCCTGCTGTCTTTCTTTAGTCATGGCCAATAAAGGTGGGGGAATTGATGATCCCACACTTAGGGTGCTAAAATACATGCTGAAGTCCTGAGGGTTAGAAATCTTAGATGGTTAGGCAGTCAAGGCCTGAGGGACTGTGGTCAGGTTGGCACTGTGGGTGACATTGGTTAATTTATTTGTACGTGATACTTGGGAATGGAAGAAAAGCAAAACTGATGCCCAAAACACTGGTCCTGGCCCACCTCAGCCACCCCAACAAGAGCTTCTGGGAAGTTTAGAGGGCAGGAACCCACCCCCAGGGTGAAGGGGAGCCCAGAGCACAGAGCTCTAGGTGCAAGCCTTCTGGTGGGGCTCCACCAGCCAGTTCAGGATTTTCCATTGTTGTTAACCCTGAAGGGAACCGCCCAGTGGCAGTGTGATATCCCTGGAATGCAGGGGACCTGAGAAAGCTGTGGCAGAAATGAGCCTCACTCACCCTGGGCGGAGACTAGTCTTTCGGGTCTTTCTCAACAACCCTGTATCCCGGCAGTTTGAATAATATTTTGGGAGCCCGTACAACTCAGGAATTGCAAGTAGTCTGGGAAAAGGTAAAAGAGCTTTTAGACAGAGCTAACATGAATGTCTCCTCAGAGAAGGTGAAAATAACCCCCCTCTTTCTATAATTTTAGGGACAGAATTATGTTTTTAAAAGGCCTCCCCCTTGAAATCCCAGCTAAGTGTTAAGGAACAATATTCATCAGTAGAATTTCAAAAGCTTCTTGGAGAGGTCATTGGCTATGCCCTTGACTACCCATGTCTACATGGCAATTACTGCCATTATTTGAAAAGTCAAAATGCCAGGAGACTGAGTTTCCCTCATGTACAAGCCTTACAGGAGACTCAAAAGGCCCTAGGCAAGGCTACTTGTTCATTATTGCTCTAAGAAAGAGTTACAACTGTGGACATTTTCAAATTCTCCCATGCTTATAGCTACCCTTGTCCGGGAGGATAGTCCCTTCCAGTGGGTACATTTATGCATTGGAGGGGTGCCCAGAGTTTATATTTGTCTTTATCAACTGGCAGATCTAATTCAGGAGGTCAAAGAGCTAGTCCTTAGGTGCTAAGACTTTGAGACAGCAAACCCTGTTGCCCTGATTGAATGAGTAATTATGAATGAGTTTGAAGAAAGAGCAACAGGCTGGCAAGCCTCCCTTGTAGATTATCTCGGCACGATTGACTGCCATTATGGGCCATAGAAGTGAGTCACCTTCTTCAATCTCTTGGAATGGGTTTGAACCTTGATTGATGCCTTGTACCATCAAATCATGAAGATGGAGGAAGAGAAGGGGCTACAGCAGAGGTTTTTCTATCTGATCATGTCTATAAGACATATTTTGACCTACCCCATGTCAAGGATCAACAGAGTGTTAGGAACTATTTGCTGTAGTTTTAGCAAAACTTCTCTCAAAAGTGAAAGAATTTTTTTAATCTCTTCTCTGATATCCTTTATGTTGTACATTTGCTCCCAGAATTAGCTCAGGCATACATAAGATTGAATGATAATCCTATCATCCCTCATGATTGAGGCCCAAACTTTGCTGCAAGGACAGACCCATCCTCCTCTCTCTGAAGGTCTCCATTTGCTCTCCTCATGGGATAGTACACAGAGATGCCCTCTCCATTGTAACCATTTTAACCTTTGTTCTAACCTACTTTTCCAGTTTTTCTTGACTTAACCACACTGTCGCCCTCAGTATCTAAATTTCTCTAAATTTACCTCATAGCCCTCACCCCAAGCTGAGAGGGGCAGACTAAGAAATAAGCGATTTAACATCCATAAGAAGCCAAAAAAAAAAAAAAAAAAAAAACAGAAAAGGAAACATATTGTGCAACTTGATTTAAGAGTTATATAAATATATACATATTTAAATATGTATTTACATATATATACATATCCACTGTTAAATTAACTCAAAGCATGAGATGAACCTATGATTTGCTTTATAAAACATTTCCAGGTTAAAATATTTCAAAGAAGAATTTGGAAGGTGCAAAATGTTTGAGAGTTAAATGTCTCTCTGTTCTGATGTGTTGGGATTGTGCATATGTTTATTTATTCATTATTGTTGGTGTTCTATTTTAGTCTGGAGAAAAACTAGACTTTGTTTTAATATTCTTTTTCCAGTTGTATATTTGTCATGAATTGTTAAGTTATTGTTCTTGTTGAGAGTTGGGTGCGTGTATGACTGACTGACAGACGAGATGGGACGGATCATGACTAACCCCTTTTTCTCTCTCCTGATAAAAAATTTTAATGAGGTCTAACCTATCTAGCAGGACTTGGCCAGACCAGACTCGCCTTCTTCTCTGAGGAAAAATTCACATACTGGTTTCTTGCTGCTTAGTCTTCAACTTACAGTGTTGTCCTGGCACTGATCAGGTCTAAAATACAGTATCTGTTAACATGTTCAGTTAAATGTTAAATGTACTTTTTCTTTAACTAATTTACACTTCTATAATCTTCAGAGTTTGAAACCAGGTCTCAAGACTTTGAAAGTTCTAAGATCCCTAGAACTCTCAAAGATTGAGACCGAATTTGGATAATATAATTGTCATTTAAAATAATTTGGATTATAATCTCACAATATTATAAAATTATGTTAAATTTGTTGCATCGTATAAGCTATTAGAGTAAATGAGCTTTTATGTTCATTGGTCAAAATGTTTCCTAATCATGAAATTGGCCCTGATTGTAAATTATTTGTGTTCTTATTTACAAAGAAGTATGTGAGATTTTGCCTTACAGGAAAACAACTAATTTTTTTTAAATGTATAGTGTAATTGGTTGTCACATGTATAATTTCTGAATTTTGCCTTTAAGAAAATGGAATTGAAATCTGATTCGTATTGAAGAACAACAGTATTTTAACATCACCTTTACACTAATTTTCATCTTATTGATAACTAATAAATTCCTAGGTACTCTCTTAAGACAACAGCCAAATTGAAGTTTTTCGCCTCTCTTGACTTCAAATAAACAGAAGCTAGGGAGAAGCGTCAGGCCTACCAGCCATGGAAAAGGCAGGAGCATGCTAGGAGTCTGCCCTTTGTAAGGAATTTAGAACGCTGGATTCCTTCAGGTCCCCACTGTGATTCTTATCTGCCTTCTTTTGAGGAGGGAGGATTCCCAAATCAGCTAGAATAAGGTTATTTGAAAACCTTCTCGTTCTCAGTTTTAAGGCAGGTTGTGTTAAAATGTGTTTCCACACATTGAAAGAAATGCTTAAAAATTGCTTAAAGCAATTGCATATTAAATTTGGTATGCTTTTATTTAGAGAATGTTTCCATTTGGAGTCTTATATGATTGTTTCAAAAAGTAAATCAAGAAAATTAGCAGATTATTAAGGAAGAGAATAGCTTGTAGAACATTTTGTCCTACAGAAGTACGGCTATCATGCAATGGAAAAAAAAAGCTGGGGTAAAATACTTAAAGGCTTCAGCTTGTTGAAAAATGAGCCTTGTAAGTTTTACTTATATAACTGTCTATACTTTTTAAGATACAACTGCAACTGTTAAAATGTTTGACATTAATATCTAGTGTATGCTGACATTAGAATTGAGTGTGCATACATAGAAATGCTAGTAAATATCTGAAAAATGTCAGAGGAGGGTTCTGGTGTGATGGCTTAGCAGTTAGAGTCTGGTGCAGTAGCCTGGTGACTGAAGTCCTCACTATAAACACGACAGGATGAATATGGACATCATTTCTAATACTGGCACTCTGTTTCCGATCCAGCTCACAACTTGTGGCCTGGGAAAGCAGTAGAGACAAGCCAAGGTGTTGAGACCCTGCACCCTTGTGGGAGACCAGGAAGATGCTCCTAACCTTGGACTGGCTCAGCACCAGTCATTGCAGTGCAAGAGTGTGATCTCTTTGCCCCTGAGCCCCAAAATTCTCAGACTCACTAAGATCTTGGTATGTCTGACCCTTTCTTTCTTGTAAGTTGTACATCTGAAATTCTTTATTCTCATCCTTTCTTCTGACTACTGAGATGGAAAAGCTAAGTCAGTGAAGTTATCAATAATTTTGTGATTAATAATTTAGAAAAAGAAAGGGCTTTCAAGACAAGGAAAACTGTATGGAGATTTTTTTTAATGAAAAAATCTCTGGTTTTCATTTATTTCTCCTGAAGTTGGAACAGCTGTTTATTTAAAAGACAAAGAATGACACATATAGAGATTGACACATCGGTTGAGGCAGAGAACACGAATGGCAGAAGGAGGTGTGGAAGTTCACTGTTTAAGTGACCTTGATAGCTAGCAATCTACTCTCAGATCAGAAAGCTTTATCCAGTTCTCCCAGGAGGGTGGTAAGACCTGAATCACTTGTCTCATCAACAAGCAACACTAAGTTGTATATTAACAATATGGTAGAGTCAGAGAGAGGGTTGAACTCAGGTACTCTGTCATGGGAAACAGGTGTATTAACTAGCATCTTCACTCCAAAGAAAACTGACTTCCTCTCTATAAAGTTTTTGCATATAGCCTAAGTAACCTTATCCCATTTTGTTTCTTAGATCAGCCCCCAATGAGCCTAAAATGTAATCATGTTTCTAGAGGCTCTATTTGTTTTGTGTTGAGTGTGACCCAAGCATGCAATTGCACCTCTCACAGCTTGACCATCCTCATCAACCCTCACCCTCCTTGGGCTTCCTAGTGGGCCTGGAGAGACAACTCCTGAAATTATCATTCTTACGAAAGATTTGTGTAGAGTGCTCTTCTGAGATGTTTGATTCTTAGGATGAAACCCTGCTTTCCTGCCCTTCTTTAAGGCAGTTGTGTTTAGTAAACTTGCTGTTCCAGATGATTCCTTCACACTCATTGCGTTATGTGAAGGCCCTTTTGCCTTTCGCTTTAATGACAAAGTAATATTTTTGCTTTGAAACTCACTATTCAATTTAGTTATCCTTTATGATTCCTAAGTGTTTTCAGGTGCATGGCATTCTTTAATATATCTTCAAACATGGAAACTATCTGAGGTGTTTGAATACTGAAGGGAAAAGCAGTGTCTGTATTTCTCGTGTATTTGGGGCTATTTTCCTCCAGATATTTTCCACTTTCTCTGCACAGGTGAGGAAGAGGTGAAATCAGATGATTGTTCAAAAAGAAAGATGGTGATAAAAGCTGAAAATGATAGTATTCATTCAGAGAATATTTGATTTGGGGATTGGATGAGCTGGTGCCTATATCAATTTGCTTGAATCCAGGTGTACTGTCATCCACTTCTCCATAGCTACTCTTCCTGATCTGTAAATATGCCTACATATATTTTAGATATTATATACTCATTATTGTGAGTTTAATTTTTCTAATACTGCTGTTACAATTTACCATGCTCTCATAGCTGAATCCCAATGCAAAAACAAACAAACAAACAAGCAAACAAAAACAAAGGAAGAATGCTTAGAATTCCTTGGACAGGCTTTGTCTGTTTCATCAGAAAATGCTGAATGAATTTTTCAGAAACTTGTATAAGTTCTTAATGACCCAAACTGTGCCAAAATTTTAGAAGTATTTGTAATCTACTGGACACATAAAAACTCATGGTGCATTGCTTAGGAAATAGAAAATAAATAACTCCAAACACTAGCAAGACTACCTATGTGTTGCCCAGAGAAAGAGGATGTAGTTTTGTCTTCAAAGATGAGGACATGAGTTTAACGTGCAATTCTGTTTAAAGTATGAATGAGCACAGAGGGAAACTTAAGTCATTGCTTACTTGATAAATTCTGATGATTAAACCCAAAGTCTCAAGGCTGGAGGTTTCTCCCTCTCTCTTAAGATTCTATGTTTGTTCATAGGAAGATTTCCAGAGAGAAGGAGAGACAAACATCCTCAATCCACTGGGTCATTCCCCAAGTGACAGCAACAGCCAGAGCCAAGCTGCTCTGAAGCCCAAATTAGGAGCCTCCTCAAGGTCTCCCATGTGAGGGCAGGGTCCTGAGGCTTTGGGCCATCCTCCAATGCTTTTCCAGCCATAAGCAGGGAACTGGATAGGAAGTGGAACAACATGGAAATGAATTGGCTTCCATATGGACCCTGGAGTGTGCAAGGTGAGGATTCAGCCACTAGGCCCTTGGAGAGTTTCTCTGCTTTAAATCAATTCCCTAAATATTTCACATTCCTATACTTCACATTCCTCATCTTTTAAATGAGTGTATTTAATAAAGATTCATAGGGTTGTTGGAAGGTTTCAATGTCTGTGTGATGTTAAACCTTACCAAAAGAGTCTGAAACACTATGAAAACAAAACAAGAAGTAGTGATAATTTGGCTTGTCTGATTTACAGTTTATGATCATGTCAACTATTATGAAAGATGATGACAGGAAGAAGAGTGCAAATAGTATTTGGTGTCCTTTCTTCTCTTAGTTGTGACGGACTTAACATTCTTATTTTTTTATTTTTTATTGTAATTAATGTTTTTTTAGTGAATGGGATCAAAGAGCTACTCACCTTCTGCTATCTGGTGTGTTTTATTTTGCAGGTCATCTGAGCAGGCTTGACTAGAAACTGACAAAAAAGGATTGATAAATATTTCAAAGCTTTGCAAACTCTTAGCAGAAAAGATTTTCCAATCAGAGAGTAGTGATTCTAACCTGTGATCCAGAAGTGACATGAAAACATTTTTTTTTTTTTTGGAACTGCTAAATCACATGTTCATTTTTATTATTAGAAATATTTTTCATACAATGATTGGTAAGTAGGTTGTAGTGTTTTTATTTTCCACCATGGGTGGAGGGTTGTTGGAGGAGTGGGGGGAATCCCAGTACCTATAAAACTGTTTCACATAATACAATGTTACTAACAATAAAAAAAGAAAAAAAAATGAAAACATCTTTCAACTATCATTTAGATGTATGCTTATGTGTTGAAGATTTTTTTCTTTAAAACAGACACCCGCATCAAAAAGAAATTCTTCATTTCTACTTCTGCTGTTACTTATGCCTGTTATATTTAATAAAATAAGCTAAGTTGATTTTCACAATGAAAGAGATGAACACATTAGCAATAGAAGGAGATTTCCTCAAAATAAAATAAAACTCTTATGGAAAAATCTGTAGTTAATTGCATACTTAGTTTTTCAAAATCTAAAACCTTTTCTCTAAGAGCAGAAATAAAGCATGGCTTTTGCATACTTACTACATTTATTTCATCTGAAACTTTTTTCTAGACACAACAATGAGGCAAATAAATAACATATTCAATTTTAAAATGAAGCAATATGTTGTCTATATTTATATGTGGCATGAGCTTACAAATGGAAAACCCTGAATAATCCATCAACAACCTGTGAGAGTTAATAAACAAATTGAGCATAGTAACCAGGAAGAAACAAAGGCAACACTTCCGATGAAGTGTTGTTCAACACCTTAAGTTGTCTACAACATCAGCAATCCCATTCCTGAGCACTGGTTTCAGTTCCACCAGACACTTTCAGTTCCTCTCCTGCCAGTGCAATTGGGGAAGCAGCAGATAATGGCCTTAATGCTTGGGATTGTTCTAACCACATCAAAGCTTCCATTTTCTGAGGTTAACCAAGTTCAGCTGCACTGACTTTGGGTGAATGTATGGGTAGATCTCTCTGTCTCTGTATCCCTCTTACTCTGACTTTCAAAACACATAAACAAACCATTTATGTACAAATTTGGTTGTACTTCCATCTTTGAATTAGCTATTCCATGTTAACTGTCAAGTGTTCATACATTTTCCACCTTTTGTCTACTTAATATCACAGTTGCAGTTGTAGAATCTCATGTCAGCAGCCTCTAATAGGCACTGTTTTCAAGATAATGAATGGTGTTAATCAAATATTGCTGAGTCTGATACTAAGAATGTTTTTCAGTTGCTGCTTATCACTCCTGGCCCTCACTTTCATTGCGAGGTCTCTATTCTCAAAAGCATCAGTGTTGTTCAGGGCTCTGACTGTCAGCACTCAGAAGAAAGGCTGACTGCCAGAACTCAGAAGAAAGCCAGTTGAGTGGGTTCTAAGAGGTAGATTAAAGCAAAATCTTCACTTCCTCTGGATACAGCTAGAAGGATAACTAAAAGGCGAAGCCATCCAAACCACCAAAACATAATGGGCTGGGCGATTGAGTATAGGTGAGAGGTCTGCATACCCAGAACACAAAAATCCTTGTCCATATTCATTCCTGAACGGGTGGGACAAGAGAGGTGAAATACACAGGGGGTGAAAGAAAGGGGGGCTGATGCTGCATAGGTAATGAAACCTGCATGTGATATTTCCACTTCACTTGCCAATCTTTACCAACTATTCTTTGGAATACTGCATGGAAATTTCTTGCAAGGCATCTTCGAATGTTAGATGACATGCAGGTTATTGTGCAATCACAGTCACCACAGAGGAACATGGTTTCAGTCATTTCAACTTATCTTGATGCAGGTGTCCACTCTGCCAATGTTAAAGTCTGTTCTGGCCTCCTGTGCCTACCTCACCAAAATAACTGTGTGCTTGAGGCCCTCACCTCCAGATTTCCCAATGTTGAACCTAGGTGTTTAAAAGCTTGCTTTGGCAGGAACCTCGACACACATGATTCCTGTATCCCACTCAAACTCCTCTGAGTCTCTCATGGTTGGAGTATTGGTAAATGCTATGTTAGTGTATTAGGATGCTAGGACAGGATGTTTTGGTTGGGCAGTTGAGTTTCCTTGGTGCTGAAAAACTGCTACGTTGTCAGATGAGGAGGCACCTGGACTATGAGAGGATTCCCCTTTAGACAAAAATCTGTTCTTTGATATCCTGCAACTTTGTAAACACAGTACAAGAAGGTAATGGCGCGATTCTTCCAAGGTCCCTGTAACAGGAGGAAGATAAGGGTGTGAGAATGGAATAAGACATAAAGATACTGGGCATGGGAATGTAACAGGATTCCTGTGCTTGAATGCAATAAAAATTAACATGTTTAAGAATGTTACTTTTGATGTATTTCCCAGCCCAAAAGTGCCTATATGATCTT